GTTTGGCTTTAAAAGTTATTCTTATTGAATTGTCACATTTATTATGCATGTCAGATCTAGCTAGCAAAACAAGATAACACAAGTCTGTAAAAAATGTTAGTATTTTAAAGTATTTGAAAGCTGGTTCCTGTCTCACTGATGGCAGCTTGAAAAATACTGCACAGCTTCTTTTGCTTCTAAAAGGCACATTAAGAGCCCGATCCTTTGAGGTGCTTAGTATCTTCAGTTGCTGGTGACTTCACTGGGAGTTTAGAATGTTCAGGACCAAATATGATCCTAAGCCCAATGGCATTGAAAGTTGGGATTTCCCAACAAGGACAGCAAATTTAGACTCTCAGCTTTGAAGTGTTTGATGTTGGTTTCCAGGAAGAACTCACAGCACTCGAGGCTTAAAAGAAGAACCATCAACTTTAGAAATAACTTACACAGTAAACATTCATTCCTTATTCTCATTGTGAAATATTTTTAGCTAGGCTAAAATTTTTAGCTAGGAAAAGAACGAGACAAACTTTTTTGTTCCTCAAAAATACACGCATTTCATTGTTTTGTTTTGTTTTGTTTTTTAAGACACACAAACCCGTGTCTTAATTTTATTTTTCAGTAGCTCTATTTAGTATTCATTGCAGCAGAAGCTCTTGGCAGGAGGAAGAATAAAAGGTTCTGACTAACTGTTTTGTAAGTTGTCCATTCTTATTGTATCAACATTAATTATTTTTGATAGATTTGTCCTATAAAAACCTTGCTGCACTTTTTGACAGGTGAAACTGTCTTGTATGTCAGGAGTATAATTTTTGAAAATGAAAGCTTGATTAAATGTATGTTTGGTTATTTTTACACATGGAGATATTCTCTCTTTAGGAAGGAAATGCCTGTGATAACATTGGCTTTAAAAAAGATAATTTTATCTTTATTTAAAATGAGATTTGAATTTTCCATCACAAAATGAGTAAACAGTCTTGTAGAATTTTATGACAGATACAATCTTTGTCTGAGCTATTAGATATTTTTCAGAAATAAAAGGTTGAAGAGAGTGCAAGCAAAATTATATTTAACATTTTCCAGCTTCATATTCAGTGTCAAAGGGCTATGATTAAAAATGTGATCTCTGATCCTGTAAAAGGATTAAGTTCTTTCTACTACTTTCTTTTTTTTATGTCTGTGTGCAGAGTCCCTGGTGTTCTTTATGCTAAGGTGATGACTCAAGTCATCCAAATGTGTTAAAAATATTTTAAAAGAAATACTTATTAAAGAAAATGGAAAGCTTAACTATCACTCTCCATACTCAGGAATACGAGTACAGTTTTATTGTAACATATCAGACATATCCATTACCTGAAATCCTCTGGTAGCATTGTAAAAATTAATCCCCAAATATAAAAGTAACCTTAGTCTTGTGTAAAATATAAACAGTTTCACTGAAAATAAATCTGTAAGACTAAATGCTTATAAAAATAATGTTGCATTAATTTTAGTCTGGGGAAAAAAAGGAGAGGGGGGACTAATATTTTAGATCTGACTCCAATTAGAGACAAATACAGACAGTTGCTCTGTCATGTATAAGGAAGGAGCTGAGGTGCTCAACACATTAAGCATCAGATGCATAGTTTACAACGATTCAGAATTGAATTGAAGTTACAAGGAGTTGGATCAACAATGACAATGATGATAATAATTAATAAAAATTACACAACAGATTTTAAGGCCAGAAGGACCATTGTATTATCTTGTCTGACATCCTGTTTATCACTGGCCATTAATTTAATTTAATTACCCTTGTATTGAGCCCATTGACTTCTGTTTCACTAAAGCACATCTTCCAAAGAGGAATCTAGTCTTGATTTGATGAGCTCAAGACATGGAGAATCCACCACTCCCTTTGGTACTTTGTTTCAATGGTTAATCACCCTTACTGTTACCGCCCCCCCCACCCCAAAAAGTGCCTAATTTATTATTTGAATTTGTTGGGCTTCAGCCTCTAGCCACTGGTTCTTTCTGCACTAGATTAAAGAGTCCGTTACTACTTGGTATTTTCTCCCCACAAAGTTACTTGTACTGTACAGTGTAAACAAGTCATCTCTCAGTCTTTTTTTGATAAGATAAACAGATTAAATACTTTAAGTCTCTCATTCTCTCCAGTCCTTGAATCATTTTTGTGGCTCTTTTCTGTACCCTCTCTGGTTTTTCAACATTTTTTTTCAAATGTTGACCCCAGAACTGTACATAGTATTCCAGTGTTGGTCATGACCAATGTAGAATACAAACTAGAATCGTAGAATCTTAAAAATGTAGCGCTGGAAGGGACCTTGAGAAGTCATTGAGTCTGGACCCCTGTGCTCAGACAGGACCAAGTAAACCTTCTTACTCCTACTCACTATTTCCCTGTTTATCGATTCAAAGATCATATTAGCCTTTTTTGTCACTGCATTGCACTGAGGGCTCATGTTGAGTTGCTTGTCCCCTGTGACACCTAAATTCTTTTCAGAGTTACTGCTTTTCAGGATACACTTCCCCATTGTCTTGGGCACACACAGAGACAGAGAAGGTGCAAGTGATGTGGTTTAATTAGGCAACACCTTCATTAATTCAACTCATCTGGGAACTATCCAGCTAAAATATGTACAATGCAGGTCATGATTTCCCCCTGGTGGAGAGCTGATGTCAGCCCAACCCTGCCATAGCATGCCCTAGTCCATTGCTGGCAGCCCACTGCCTTCCCCTCATTTGAGGGTTAAGGGTCTAGGGAAAGGGGGTTGTCTCCTCACTTTACCAGACAATAGAAGTCCTAAGCCCATTCCCCACCTTCTTTAGGGGATACCTTCCACTAAGTCCTCTTCCAATTCCTTATTATCAGGGAATCAGATCCCCTGTGGAATGAGTACCTCCACTGTACACTTGCCATGAGGAGGCACCAGCAATTAGCTTGACTGCCTCCCTCCCACCCCAGCTGTGTACCCAGATGTACTACGTTTACACTACGAGCTAGGAATCTGATTCCCTGCTCATGTACACATACCCCTGCCAACTCTCACTGAGCTAGCACAAATAGAAATAGCAATGTAGCCCCAGTAGCATTGGTATCATCAGTGGAAGCATAGCTGAGCCATGCCAAGTACATACCCACTGGTTTCAGGCAGGTTTGTACTCAGACCGGCTCAGCCAGGCCTTCTCTGCCGCTACCAGTGCTACTGCATCTACACTGCTATTTATACTTGTGCTAGCTCAATGAGAGCTGGCGTGAGTATGTGTGCACAAGTACGGGCATCACACCCCTAGTTTGTAGTGTAGACTTAGCCATAGTTAACAGTTCCCTCCCTAACACTGGTCAAAAATATATCCATTCCCCAGTCAGAGAGGTGTACCCTATTGTCCCTGAATAATTCAGGTAACATATATGATTTTTTGGTGACTAATTGCCAATACTATCCATTTCAGATGCTTCACACATCTGGCCTTGTCAACTTGTGGAGGCCTGGTGGGTTCCTGCTGTATACTCCACTGCAGCATTTTAGACCAGTGTACAGTCACCTGCCTGGAAAAGGCCCTGGATCCTGCCCTGATCCAATGAGCTCCATTTGCCCTGATGGAAACCGCAGACCCAACTCCCCCCAGTGCATTCAAATCAGCTTTCAGGGCTGATTCCGGCATCCAATCTTCCCATTCAAGGAAACCTTATTGCACTCATTACAGAATTGTCCAATACTCAATAAAACAACGCACAAATACCAAAACCAGGTCAACTTTCCTTTCACAAGTGATATGCATTTCATTTAGGATTTCACCCTGCAAGCCCTCTGTGCTCGTAACTCCCAGTGAAGTCAATGGAAATTCCTCAAAGGGAGCGATTGCAGGATGAACTTCTTAAAGGATAATACAAGTGCACAAGTTTATAACTTTCTTAAAAAGAATGAGGACCACTTAAAAGTCAAATTATAACCACAAAATCATGAGGTGCAGGAGTGGAATCATGAGTCTAGAAAAGCTTTGTACTGTGTCCAATTAGCATTTTTACTGTATCATAGATTTAATGCATGCTCTTAGCATAATTAAATTCCTACGGTGCATGGTTACCATCTACCAGTACAGTGTTATTAAAACAGAATTAGAATGTACTGTTCAAGAGATTGGCCCTCGCTCTTTACTCAAGCAAAACTTTGGATCAGGCCTCAAGTGAGAAACTGCTAAATAGAGGATTTAGGATGATTAAAAACAGACAAATTGTATTATTTTCAGTCAGTTACATTTACTTTTGTGTATGATGTATCTGGCTTGTCCATCAGGGAAATATATAACAAAGTGCAAAAAAAAAAAAGTATGAATAATGTTCAGGGATGTAACCAAAAGAAAATGGCTAATGTTTCTTCCCCTCTAAGGATGAAATCCCAGCTCCATTGAAGTCAGTAGGAGTTTTGCAATTAACTTCAGTGGGGCCAGGATTAACTCTTTCTTAAAGATTTAGGAAAGAGTTTGTGCCAACAAATACCTAGAGCACAATTGTAAAATGTGTTGCTATAATAATATTATAATATGTTTGCTGAATTCAGTAGCTTCTGGTCAGTGTTTACAACACAAGATATCTCACAGACTGTATAATGAGATCTGGGAGTGGATGTAAAAGTTATTGTTATTTTCTAGCCAGTTTCCTAAAGGAATCTTATTTCAACATCCTTCATTTCTACTGGGATGCAGTCAATGAGATTTTTTTAGCTGGACGGTAAAGTATAACTATTGCAGAGAGGGAAAACAACCTGGCAGTAATTTTTGGAACTTTAAAAATAGTATGAATCAGTTCGTATAAAGTACTGTAGAGGAGAGTCAGAAACCTACAAGTACATCCAGTGCATTTTAGAGTTTGTTCCTTTTTTTGGAGGTGTAGTGATAAACCTAGATTGAGAAAGTTACTGTAAGCCCTGTACACACATACAATTTCAGTAAAATACATTTGACACTATGTATAAGAGCACCACTTATTCTAACTACCTGTTTTTTTCCTTTTCTCTCAGCTCTCTAAGAAGTATGACGTTCATGTTTGTGGAGAAGGTGGAGAATATGAAACATTCACTTTGGACTGTCCCCTGTTTAAGAAGAAAATAGTTGTGTAAGGAACTATTTCTTCCCCTTCCTTAGATTTAAGTGATGGGAACATATTAACATTTAGCTTGAGGCAACATTTGTTGGCAGGAGTAGAACATGTCCTCTAAGTTCACAAACAGTCACTTTGTTTAACGCTGGCAAAGTCCTCTGAAAACCTAAATCAATGCCTGACAAGACGAGGCCTTCATAGAAGGCTATAAACTTTTTAGACATTTGCACTTTCGTTTACTTGCTGATTATGGCCTGCAGTAAAACTGGTACCTATACACTGACACTTTTATCCTTTCATGAAGTGCGAATTGCCTGTAATATTTATCTTTCATTACAGCTACATTTGATAAACTGCCACATCAGTAGCCTGTGGGTTCCATTAACTCTGTGTCTTTTTTTTCTTCTTTTTTCAACTTTAGTGACTTAGAATGATAATACTAAACATTTTCCATCAGTTACTAAGGGGACATTTTTGAATGTAAACTTTGCTTGAATCCATCGAGCGACTCTGAGTAGCTTATTTCTTTGCTGAAATTTGTTAAAATTTGTTTAGAGGGGCATGGGAAATTTCTCTGTCTTGATTCAAGTTTCTCAGTACACGATGTTAAATAGCTTACCCTGCATATTTTGAGATGTTTTGACTATTGTTCCTATTCTTATCCAAGTAAACAGTCTCTAATAATGGAGTGTCACTTGCATACCATTTCAGATACATCAACTCATGGAAGGTCAACATTATGGCACATATGGACATTTCGTGCTGTAGTGAAAAAGGCCCATTCTTTTATATCTCCTTCTAGCAGTAGTAAGCAATAGAGGAAATGTGGTAAATTTACTATGCAATTAAGGGCTGATATTATTCCTGTTGAAATCAATGGCAAATTCCCATCAACTTCAGTAGGAACAGGAGCAGGCATTTATGGCACTTTATTATTTTAGAGATAAGATCTGTTTGGTACAGTGACTTCATCAAGGTCTGTATTTTCAGCCAAACAAAATGTTGTGGTCTGATCAGCATTGTTTTGATAATTGGTAATATTGGTGCACAACAGCATCATCCAGAAAAAGAATGGCTAGCTTTCAGTCTGCATTTGTTATAAAATGTGTTAATTGACATCATAAGATAAGTTTACATCAATGCATTGAAATTTGTTTGGCTGCTTTTCTTGCTTGTTTGCTTTCTCACACTCATACTCACACACATTGGGATTGGGTGCCTAACTCCCTTAAGTCCTTCGAAGTCCCTGCCTGAATAAAGACAAGTCTGAGGTAAAATGGTTTCATGTCTTACTAGAAAGTGTCAGTTATTGTTAAGGAGAGGAGAGGATTAATATGGAGGGCTATATTATGGTCCTTACTCTCAGGTCTGGTGGAACTGCATTTGGCACTGAATCTAAGGGTAGTTTCTTTAAGGTGCCACCGGACTCCTTGTTGTTTTTGTGGATACAGACTAACATGGCTACCCCTCTGAAAATTAAGATGGAACACATTAAATTGATTAAAAACTGGCTGACTGATAGGTCGCAACATGTAATTGTAAATGGGGAATCATCACTGAGATGATGGATTTCTAGTGGTATCCTACAGGAATCAGTTGTTGGCTATGCTGTTTAATGTTTTTCTCAGTGACCTGGAAGAAAAGATAAAATCATGACTGATCAAGGTTGCAGACAATACAAAAATTGGGGTGTGGTAGATAATGAAGAGGACATATCACTGACAGAGAACAAGGTGGATCGCTTAGTAAGCTGAGCACAAGCAAACAATATGGGCTTTAATACGGCTAAATGTATATCTAAGAACAAAGAATGTAGTCATAGAGGACGTTATTCTGAGAAGCAGTGACTCTGAAAAAGATTTCAGGGTAGAGTGGAGAATCAGCTGAACTTGAGCTTCCAGTGCAATGCTGTGGCCAAAATAGCTTTTTGATCCTTGGATGCATAAGCAATGGAATCTTGTGTAAGAATAAAGAGTTTATTTTATCACTGTATTTGGCACTGGTACATCGGCTACTGGTGTCTCCAATTCAAGAATGATGTTGATCAATTGAAGAAGGTTCACAGAATAGCCACAATTATTAAAGGATTAGAAAATGTGTTTACAGTGTTAGACTCAAGGAGCGCCATCTGTTTAGCTTAACAAAGAGAAGGTTAAGGGGTGACTTGATTACGGCCTGTAAGTACCTACATGGAGAACAAATATTTTATAATGGGCTCTTAAGTCAAGCAGACAAAGTTATAAGAAGATCTAATGGCTGAAAGTTGAAGCTAGACAAATCAGACTAGCAATAAGGCATAAAAATTTTAACAATGAGGGTAATTAACTATTAGAACAATTTACCAAGGGTCATGGAGGATTCTCTATGACTGGCAATTTGAAAATCAAGATTGGATGGATTCTTTAAAAGATATACTCCAGGAATTTGGGATCAGGGAGAGATTCTATGGCTTGTGTTATATAGGAGGTCCGACTAAATGATCACAATGGTCCATTCTGGCCTTACAATCTGTGAACCTGTGACTCTATTATTGCTTTTTTAGAGGTCCTTGGCTATTTTGATAGATACTCTAGAGAGTAGGTAGGCTATTCCATTCACTATGGTGGTGTAGATGCTAGGTGGTTAGATTGTCATAGTTCAAATATATTTCACCTCAGTAAAATTTTGAAGCTTAGATGAACATATACAAGTACCTCTAAGGACTTTAAAAGTCACAGAAATCCTATGTACTCAACTAGTCCAATTCTTCTCCCTAAAAAAAAACTTTGGCTGCATGAAATGTAGATCCCAGCAGAAAACACTGAAGATGAGTCTTCCCTACAAAACATGGAAAGAGAAAATCTAACTCACCTATTATAGTAAATAGACTCCTGGGTAGTATTTTTCCTGGATGATGATTTTATCATATGTGTAATGTCTGACAAAATGCATTTCCTCAAATTTCTCTCTGAATAGAAAGGCAATCTGCTAGATTTGTGGATAAGAGAAAATTGCCAATAGTGATTCTTGCTTTATTACAGTCTAGAATGATGGCAGTCTGGTGAAGGCTCTGTAACTTGCCTTCCTTTATAAGAGTGATTTTAAACTGTTGGGGTTTTGGGGGGAGGGCAAAGGAGGGGAGGGTTAGTTGGATTGTTTATATTTTTTTCTGTCATGGTATCAGTACTGAGCAGTGCTTGGGTGCCCTAACTGCATTCTGTAATTTAGCATGTTTGGAACGCCTTGAAGCTTAACCTTAACTCCGAATTTTCTGGGTTTATGCTATTTGGTTTTGAGATGTTACTTATATATAAGGCTAAGATTTAGTGATGGGTATTTTTAGTAAAAGTCATGGACAAGTCACGGGCAGTAAACAAGAATTCATAGCCCATAACCTGTACTATATACCCCTGACAAAATCTTGGGATCTCTGGGGGGTGAGGGGCAGCTCGGGGGCACCACTGGTGCTCTGGGGAGGTGGGGACAACTGTGCATGGCCCAGGACTGCTGCTGGTGTTGTGGGGGGGGGGGGGAATGACCCAAGACCACTGCTGGTGCTTTGGGGACCCTGGTGTCAGTCGCACCGGCTGCTACAGAAGTCACAAAGGTCCTGGAAAGTCACGGAATCCGTTGCCTCCATGACAGACTCACAGCCTTACGTATATATATCCCTGAATTCCCTTCACTCCTGTCCTAGTCTAGTGGAACCCATCTATCCAACCACAGACCATCCTCAAATTTATCCTCACAGAATTACCAGACTTCAACAACTGCCATGAACTACCATTTCTCTACTCTCTTTGTTCAAACCCACTGTACCTACCTTATTCTTCTTGATGTGGGTCTGAGATCCCTTCTTCTAGTGCAGTGTTTCTTAGCTTTTTCAGGTTGATGACCTTATTTAATGCCTAACACAGTAAAAACAAACAAACAAACAAAAACCCTTATAGTCATTGCTAAGTAGGAAATGTATATATCCCTGAAAAGAAATAGACTTCCCCAAATATTTTCTGGAAATTAATCAATAAACAAGAAACATTTATCAAGAATATCATCAGTAAATCTTGTTGCATTCCTACAGTCCATCTTTTATTGTATGTTTTTATTCATGGCACACATGAGTTTCATCCATTTCCACTTCCTTCTTTGCATGTGAACAGAATTCAAAATGAATGACTAAAGATAATTATTTGTTTTCATACAGGAATATTTTATTGTCTTCATTTAATAACTATATACAATCAAGCCACAGATTTCATTATCAGGAATTTCGTTAGTGATCCTGATTAAAAAATGCATTAGCATTCATTCACTAAAGCTGTCTCTTGGTATTATGTCATCATCTTAGGAGTTTTTAATGATCAATTCCAAAGCATGTTTGTAAAGGAAAATGTAACTGAACTCTTTAAGGAAATCATTCAGGTCTGACCAAATGCTTTCAAATGTTTCCAGTTTGGCTGGCATTATTTAAATGGGTATATTAGATCTGAATCCCTGCACCTATGAGGTCTTATGTAGTACTGTGTCTTAGGGCTTGTCTAAAGGAACAATTAGATTGCTTTGAGCTAGTTTAATTTCGAAGAGGACTAGATCAAAGCACTCTCACGAACTGTTCATGGGCATTGACAACACATGGACAGTTAGACCGTGCCAGGCTAGCATGGGATAGAGTCACATCCAAGCATGACATGAACTAATTATTCATGTAGGAAAACCCCTTATTTAAAGTAGCCTTCTCTTCTGAAAAATCATTATGTAAAAATGGAATCTTGGGGTTCCATGTTTATTCCTTCTCAGAGACTCAATATAAAATTTGTTCAGTTGCCAAGTAAATGAGAGGTTTTCTAACTTCCAGCCCTACAAATTGAACCTGGGATCTGGACGGCAAGGTGGGTTCTTTTACAGTTTAGCAATACCAGTGGAACTTAGAGTTAATAATTCTATTGATGTGTGAACAAATACATCACCCATATCTCTCTCATTGTATCGATCCTTCAGAGCCAGGAATAATTTTTTGAAGTATTGGTAGTAAAAACTTATTTTAGCTAGTGAAGTAGAAAATGAGAGTCTGAATACAGAGCAAAGTAGATATCTTCTATAAAAAGATATAATTTTTTCAGTCACTTTTTGTCCATTGCCATTCTTAGATGTCTCTTTGGAAAACATTAATCAGGTGTACCAAAATCGTGAACCCTTGGGAACAAAGCAGTTGTAAAATTCACTGGTGGATTTTCAGCTTAAATCTATCTGCTCCTGATATTGCCATTGCTAACCTACATTGAATGTCATCCTGATAACAATAAGCCAGATCATCACCTTTTGGAAATTTATATAGCTATGCTCATTAAGAGGATCTGAGGATCTGATCCAAAATGTTCTAGGGATTATTTGCAATAAGAACACTCATTGGTTGTGTTCTGACTAGAAGCACTGGTTTCTCTAGCTGATACCAATGTCCTTCCTTTAACTAACTTAATTTTATCATTTGACCCCTGGATATCTTCCACTTACTCTGTAAATAGATTACATCCTGAAAAGTCTTAGTTTACAAAGTAGAGTATCTGTACTTAAACTTCCTTAGTGAAAATGTAAAGACTAGTTACTTCAGTGTAATTCCAAGTGAACTATCTGTGGGCCAGTAGCTTTACGGAGTACAAAAAAAAAAGTGATAATTTTTATGCATATGACTTTCTCTTACACCTTCTGAGATTTTTTTGTATCATCTTCTAATACTCTGTTTTCCCTTACCTGTCTTAATTCCATTGCTAAATGTTCTAGTTTTGAAACAGTGCAGGTGGGCGCAATATATGAATTGGAGGTTGACAGATTATGACTGTAAAAATGAAAACTAAACGAAAGCTTATGCTCAAATAAATTTGTTAGTCTCTAAGGTGCCACAAGTACTCCCTTTCTTTTTGCAAATATTAACTAGTTTCAGTCAGTGTATCTGAAGTTTACACCATTACCATTAATGCATTTGGCATTAGCAAGTTGTGTCTAGTAATCCTTCAACATGAGGTGTAAAATAGTTAAATGGCACAATCAGACTTCTCAGTGGGACAAATATTATAGTGCTAATTCTGTAGGAAGTGATTCCCGGAGCATTATTCAGTGGGAAATGAGGTTATCCCAAGATTTAAAATGCTGATAAAATAAAAACTTAGAAGTTCTCTTGACTAACAAAGGGTTGGCTTGCTGTTGTGTCATCAGACCTTTGGTCATCATGTCATTTATACGTACGTACAGTAGGCCTGATTTTCATTCACACTAAGGCCTGGTTACACTGCTTTGAAAGTTTGAAATAGACTTAAAACGGGTGTAAATTGCATTTATTTTCCACACATTTTGCGATTGAAAAGGATGCTGGACCTAAACCCCCATGGTTTAATGTTTTATGTTTTCTGAATTAAATTTATGACAATGAAGTAAAATGCAAATTATGGGAGTCTGCTGAGTTTTTTCTATATTATACGAAAACTTATGACTAAAAGAGTTTCTCTTAATCTGTTTTTTTAAAAGCAACAAAACCCTTGATCAGTAGTTGGTAAACCATATTGAATAGTAGTGGAGGGACAGTGGGCATAGCCTAACCATAAAACCATGCATTAAAATACAGTGTTTATTATTCTGTATTTCAGGGACTCATCCCAAGTAGTTGTACATTCAGCTGATGCATTTGCACCTGTGGCTTACCTCCGCTTTTTAAAATTACACTTAGAGGATAAGGTAAGTACCTCTTTCTAAATCTTATGTTCCTTTTAATAGACTGTGAAGACATATGGACTACTTCCTTTTTATGTTGCTTTTCACAATTTGGACTTCATCCAAGTTATTGGCTCTGTCCTTCTATTTGCTGTAAAACCTGTACTTACTTTAACTGGTTTTTGGAACTTGCCATCAGAGTGACCCAACACAGATGCTCACTTGTGCCAAATGAATGAATGGAAGTAGTATTTGTATAGCCTTTTTCATCCTGAAACCTCAAGGCGCTTAGCAGACCTTGTTCAGCCAAGCACATGTGCAACCACTGAAGTGCAGCCACCCATGCTGTGGAACACAACTAATACTTTTGTATTAGCAAACCCTATAAACAGCATTGAGTTGCTGTGAGGTTGACTTTCTTATTGCTATTTTTGGTGAAAAGTAGATATCGTAGAGACCTGTTGATTCCCAGTAGATGATTTGTATCTACCAGATCCTCATTTCACATATGGTAGACAACCCAAGCTAGTAACGATTCTAAGTCTGGGAGGTGAAGCATCAGTCCCTAATCCTATTCCAGTCAGCGACCCCACAGTAAAATGAGTTTACTGCAGAGGAGACACTCTGTCATATAAGGAGAGAGATGTCCAGCCAAACTCGATAGAGAGCTTAAGAAATATTAGCAGTAGTTCAAAGGGATTCAGTTTGTTTTTAACTTATGATTGCATGGAAAGTGTGCAATGCAGGAGTAAGAGCCTAGTAATGGCAGAGGTACATGTGTGCTGACAGATTCTTGAGTATTGCACTCTTACCCATGACTATAGCATTGCTAATGAGATTCAAAGACAACATTGTTTTCTTCCTTTTTGTGAGCACATTTTACCATCCATTTTCTCTTGATTATTATACACATATAGTAAATCTTTCTTCCTTCTGTGTGTTTGTAAATGGTAACATTTCATTTACAGACTTCTATACCCTTAGAGTATTTTTGAAATTTGGTTGAAATTTGAAATATTTCTGAATGCTAAAAAAGAACATATTGACATATTTCTGCAATTAATGACATGTTGAGAATTTTGTAAAGGGCTGCCAATAATACATCAAAGTAGGACTTTTTGTTACCAACTTTATTTTACAACATGGAACTTAGGCACACTTACTAAATAATGTTAAAATGCAGGTAAGCTATATGGATAATAGATTTCCTTGATGGCTTTTGTGTCAGGTATGAAGGTATTTTTTCTTTTAAGATCTATCTTGAAGACTGCTTTTGTTGAGGAAAAATGCCTGTTGATCTTCCTGCTGTGCTTGAAACCTTCTTGGTATTCCTTGCGGGAGAGGAGAGGGGATTCTGGTATTGCAGCTGATCGTAGTTTACTTTCCTTTTCTGTTTATTTTTACAGTCTGAAAATCAGTCAAGCTACTTCATATACAGGGATCATTACTGAATGCAACAGTGTTTGGGTTTTTTTGGGTTTTTTCTTTTTTGCATCTGGTGACTTTTGAACACTTCAAGTATACATAGAGAACCAATAGTCTTTATTTAGGAGAGACAGTTTGTATATTTGTATCAATAAGCAACACTGTCTCCATTTTTGCTGTCTGTCTCTCCAAAGAGATAAAATGTTTCCCTATTTTCTTCCCAAATGACCTTATTCCTAGCTTTCCAACTGTGGCAGGTACTCCCTGCTTCATCCCATCCATTTCTTGTTTGGGATTTTTTAAATGTAAAATCTTAAAACATTTGTATGAGAGACTTCGTGAAAATGATGTCAACCAGCTATGTGAAGTGAAACCAGAGAAGCTGAATAATAGAAAACTCTGGTGAGGGAGAATAGTGGAAATATATTAATATTTCTTTGGGGGCACTGACTTTATTGCTCATGGCAAACTTGATGCTGAAATGCACCATACATCACTACAGTGTGACAGGTTAGGGAAAATGAAAAACACAAAGCTTTACATAAATCAGGCAAAAAATCGTATTAAAATGCATTACATTTTATATAAGGATCAAGATTTTACTTTTATCTATTCAGAAGCTCTTTTCCCCTTCTTATGTAGATGTTTCAGATTTTGTTAAAGCCTCACAGTTTCAAGCAGTTTTATAGCAAATCATATTTCAAATTCATTGTAGACAAAGCTGTCACATTCTTAAAGAGGTAGGGTTATAGAAGCATGGTCTGGATTTTGGTATACTCTAACGTCTTCTAGAGTTAAAAAGGAAAATAGTTTATTTTCTATTGATGGTGTTGTGGGAAAAGGCATTAGAATCTTTTGGCTCTAGATTAATTTATTTTATGTCATGGTATATTATAAGCTAGGTTTTCAAGAAGTTGTTACTATGGAGAGGCAGTCAATCTTTGAATAGTGTAACATGTTACTAACTTAGCATAGTTTAACCACGTAATGTTTAAATGACACTGTCAAGATGGATAACCATTGATAACTCTTCATCTGATGAAGTGAGCTGTAGCTCACGAAAGCTCATGCTCAAATAAATTGGTTAGTCTCTAAGGTGCCACAAGTACTCCTTTTCTTCTAGTACGGTACCTTTTCTCCTCCATTATGTGTACAAAACCCATGATTTTTTTTTTTAATCAGTTGGTAATTCAGCCCTTGAGAGCTACCTTACCACAACAAATCACTGTGTTTACACAATGGGAAAAATGTACTTCAGTAGAGAAATTGATTTTAGTTTCAAGAGGTTATTAAAAGCATGAGAAAAATATTTGAAATTTATGAAAAATATATAAAAGGAGTCATTTATATAATCATTTTGGAGAATCCATTAATAGACTGCATAGTATTTCCAAATACTAAAAGGAACTGTGATATGTGGCTCTAATATAAATCACAGTATCAGATTTGTTATGCATATCTCATCCCTGAAATAACATCTCTATTTCTGTGTTTAAAAAGTCCCTTCTCTTAGTTATGTTTCACAGGCATTAATTTTACATTCTTTGAATTGACTATTTTATAATCATTTCCACAATTTTGGATAGAGTGTCTTTCTACAATAAAAGAAGTCTGTGCTCTCTTTGCCATTCTGTGGTGCGTTTTCTTCAGATAAATTTCTTCATATTTAACTACAAAGACTGGGTGGAAATTTGTTTTAGATTGTTTCTGGCAGCACAATGAGCTGTTGTGCCTGAGGGAGATTAAGATTTTATTCATTGTTCTCATTTAATACATTACTGTGCAATTTCAAGATGTATTTTTGCATAATAATTTAAAAGCTTTTCCCCCACCCTCTTTTCTTTCATTACCAATGATACAGAAAAGGCTAAAAAGATAATTTTCTTAATATTTTTATTAAAGTTTTATAAAAAGTTGGGTATCAACGGATCAAATAAGCTTTTTTTCCTTGGCTATTATAAACAACTAAAATAATATTGTTATTAATAGCACATTCATTTTGATAGTCCATGGAGACCTCATTTACTTCATCAGAAAAAAGCAAGGTCAGTAATTGTGTTGTACATCACATAGAAATCTAGCTTCATCAATATTTTACCTCTCCTATAAGAGCTTGGCTTTGTACAACAAAAATGTGAAAAAGCTTTTCACTTGTTCATCGTTTGCTGTGTTTGCTATCGATTCACACATACCCCTCCCCACAACAAACATCATGTCACATGCATATAATGAGTGAAATCTTAAACCCATTGAATGGGAGTTTTGTCATTGACTTCGGTGGGACCAAGATTTCACCTATTGTATTTTGCCTTATAGTTTGCCCATATGAAATCAGATGCTTCTACAGAAGATCACTTGTTTGAATCTGACCCAGCTGGTAGCGAGCTAAAATTGTTACTGTCTGATAACTGGTCATTGGTATGTGAAATACACTGATGGTCTTTGTAAAGTTCCTAGTGGACATGTGTCCATATTATAAAAGATAACATGACAATGACACCAATTGGCACCCTTGTTTATAATGTTTATAAAGAGGCCAAGGATTGAATGTAAACTGAAGTATGCTTTCACTTCTAGCCTTAGGCACTCCAGACTAGAGCTGAGGCATATGGAGCAGTGTGGGGAATCTTGTAGCATTGTTGTCTGTGCTGTGCAAGTTCTGTGGAAACAGAGGATTTCAGTCTCCAGGACTGTCAAGGGGGGTATCTTTCGCAAGCACCCAAATTCACTTAGCCAGAAAAAAAAAGACTCTTGAAAGTTGAAGAGGGACTGGTTCTGTCTGTGTACCTGACACTCTTGTGACCTTGGGCAAATTGCTGAATCTCTCTGTTCCCTAGTTTAATCATCAGTAAAAAGGGTATAATGCAAGAGTAAACCATCCTAGAGTGCTTTGGCATGCTGAAAGCATGCTAAAATGTCTGGAGATAGGGCAGTTACCTTGCTAAGTTATAGTGTCTCGCGAATAACAAGAGATAGAAACCAATGCCACATACCACTGGAAAAATGAGAACCAAGCCATTTTAATGGACAACAGTTTTCTCTAATCCTGGTGAGTCTCCTAATATGAAACTTTAAATCACATCCTCCTTATAACATCCCCACCACCTTCATTTTTCTCCTAATTTTATTGGCTGCTATTTTCATAAGCAGTTCTTGTTTTCATGTTCAAATGCAGGAAAAGTTGCCCAGTAAAATTAAGTGGAGAAAATGTTAGGCTTTGAGGGAAAATAAAGGATGATAAGTCTGCTTACCTCCATTAGGATGTTGTAGCTCTCGTTGAATTTGTCAATTGGACCGGCTTATTGCCACAGCAGCAGAGGATTCTGATAACCTCTCAGGCTGAGAATCACAGCCAAAGTACAGATGTCAACATCTTTGTTTTGTCTACAAAAATATGATTGAAATAATTGAATAAAATAGGTAATACTCAGATTTTAAGACTAAGTCATAGCTTGTGCTGATCTTAGACAAATTATTGTAAAATGAATGTTTTGTTCCCTGAGTCCCAGTAGTGCCTGCATCAGTTGAGCAGGACCATTCACATGCACCCAGTAGCACAACTCACAGCACTATCTGCTATCCCTTAAGGTGGGTATATC